TAGTAGCCCGAGTTCCTGCCAACTAAGAGAAACCTATCTGCAATAGAGGAAAATGAGAATCAGAGAGAGTTCTGACAGTATATGCTAAATTCCTGAGGCAAATTTTATCTCTGAATTCCCCAGTCTCCTGTGTCAAAAAACTCCCTTGCTCTGCTTAAGATACCTTCGAGTTTCTGTCACAAGTGACAGAAAGTATAGAAAATAATATACTAGTGAATCAGGAACTCATGGGGCAGGACTAAAAAACCTTAAATTTTTAAAGATGTCCAGGAATTTCTGATGTATGGCTAGGTTTAGGATACTCTGATAGAACAGCCTATCAGTTTATAAGGAAAAAAACTGAGATCCACATAAGATAAGTGGCTTGATAATAACAGTAAGGTAGAATCTAGTGAGCACTTTATTACATGTAGGACCCAGTGTGAAGTGAGTCACATATATGATTTCATTTGTTCTTCAGCAGTCTGCTTTAAGTTTACTATGTCTAGCACATCTATTTGCTGCATACTCTGTTGGTTTTATCTACAGTTATATATCCACCACCTAGCACAGTACCTAGAACATAGTAGGAACTTACTAAATACCTGTTGACTATTGAATACATTTTACAGATTAATACAATTACTACTAGTAGTAGTAGTAATAATAGTAGTAGCAGCAGCACTGCTAACATTTACTGAGTGTGTTATGTATGTTACAGATTCTTTTTAAACATTACCTTATTTGATTGTCTAAAAAAGCCTTTAAGGTAGGTTTCTACTACTCCCCATTATGATGGGAAAACTGAGTCACAGAGGTGTGAAATAATTTCCCCAAGGTCACACAGCTAAATAAGTAGCAAAATTAAGATTCAAACCCAGGCAATCCGGCTCCAGAGTCCAGTTCATAATCACTGTCTTATACTGGTTTAATTAATGTATCCAAAATGACCAAGCCACTGAATAGCAAGCAGATGCAGTGTTTGAGCCTAGGTTTGTCTGAGTCCAGAATCTCTCTCTTTAACTGCTCTTTATATTTCTTCTCTGTGGTTAATTATCTGGCAGTTCATGGTGGTCCACGTAAATGGCAGCCCTTGTTTTGTGCAATATATAATATGCATGGCTCTCGTGGCAACTCTCACAATATGATTAGAAACCAACTATCTCAACTTCTAGAGAGGAATAGTCAGGTGTGATCAAAAACAGGACTCAGGGGGCGCCTGGGTGGTGCAGTCGGTTAAGCGTCCGGCTTCAGCCAGGTCACGATCTCGCGGTCCGTGAGTTCGAGCCCCGCGTCAGGCTCTGGGCTGATGGCTCGGAGCCTGGAGCCTGTTTCCGATTCTGTGTCTCCCTCTCTCTCTGCCCCTCCCCCGTTCATGCTCTGTCTCTCTCTCTGTCCCAAAAATAAATAAAAACGTTGAAAAAAAAAATTTAAAAAAAACAGGACTCAGTGGGCCAAATACTGAAACCAAGGTACAACTGTTTGCCTGTTGTGTCAATTTGGTTACTACAGGAAGCAGAAGCCAAAATGGAATTAGAAGTGTAAGAGATTTACTGGGGGAAACATCTATGAAGAAGAAAGGGGAGAGGAAACAACAGTAGGTGGAGACAGCCTCAGCCCACAAGGAAGTTCTGACACCTGTTAAGGGCAAAAGAGGAGGAAGGAAGATTGGGTAGGAAGACTGCCTGATTGCAACGAAACTGGAAACTTGGAGGTAATCTGGGCGAGGCTGATGGGAAGTCCAGGGCAATGCTTGCCCGGTAGAGAAGTCTTGCACTGGGGAGAAATGGCCTGGCTCCAACATACTCAATCCCCGCCTGAGAGTAGCCCAGTGAGAGCAGGGCTTTGGTGTCAGTGCTGTGGTTGATTCCTGAGGAGCGGCTGCTGCAAGCTGTCAGCCATCCACACTCCTTGCAACTGGTTCTCTTGGAGAGAGACTTAGGCTGTGCCTTCCCATAGCTGCCACACCTATGTACCATGAATTAAATCTTCAGAAGGAAACACCAGGGAGCCACCCACAGAAGATAAGCAGTCAGGGCCTACAACAGCACCTCACATATCTGAGAACATTTGCTTTCAAACCTTGTGTTGGTTTGGCCTTACTAAAAGTGTCAGCTCATTTAGTGAAAAATGTATGTTTTCCTGAAAAGGGGTGAGTAGGACGTTTTCTCATTTATTTTTCGACAATGGACACATTTAAATTGCCACAAAGAAGTTACTATGGAAACTGCTCACAAACTTGCAAGATAAAAGGTAAAAATGGAACACTTTGTTGACATGCAAATGATTAGTCTTTGGAGACCACTTTTGAACACAGTCTTCTTGTCTGTTTCTTCTGAGTCCATTAGAATCAAAGGTAGACAGGCAAGTTTTTTGGTGTTACATTCTAGATGCCCCTGGTGTGATAACTCTGGAGTAAGTCTAGACACTTCCAAACTTGGTGTTGAAACAAGCAAAGTAGACAATGACATTGTACTCTCTAGGTAATTCTGGGATGGCTGACTACGAATTGTTATGAATGTGCACACAGGCCCAGGGCAGGGAAGGTGGTTGTTTTTATGCCAGGCCCATTCTTCTGATGTACCCTGGACCTGCTTGGTTGAAACTTAACTTGCTGAGCTCTTATTTATGCAAGGTAGTTTCTCTTTCTTATCTTCTCTGGCCACATTCCATCCTTTGAATCTTGGACCAGACAGCCTTTTCAACAGAAAACAAACTTCTCATCTGAAAGCACCATTTGTCTACCTATCTCTGCTCCTCTTTCCCTGCCTCTTCCCACCCACCAATCCAATTCACTTTATGTCTGCCTAAGCATTCCTATCTTGACAAAGCTTTGAGATAGCTTTGTCCCGATTTCTGCTTTTTCTATCTGGCAATTCTTTCAACTTGCTTCTCTCAGACCTTAATCCCAAGAGCTGTATTGAAACCCTTTCAAAGCTGCTTCCAATAATTAAGTGGATGCAATGTGAAGAGGTGACTTGACCTGAGGAACTAGGGGCCAGAGGTTCAGGGTTCTTGATTTAGAACCATTGTTAACAAGCTTCGCAACTAGCAGCAATCAATTTCACTTCTCCCTTGTGAATCAGTCTTCATCTGTTCCCTCCACCAGGTATTTTTTCTGGCAGATCTTTCTTTCTTTCTTTCTTTTTTTAATGTCCAGCTCCTTTTCATCATTCAAGTTTTAGCTTAATTATAGAGTCCTCAAAGAGGCCCTAAATATTCTGTATTGTTACTTTCCTCTAACACCATTCTCTTCAACATTGTCTTCTGTTTTCTTCAACAATTTTCTATCTGCAATTATCTTAAATGTTTCCTTGATTATTATATTTGCTCCAAAGACCTGTAAGATCCAAGAGAGCTGAGGCCTTGTTGGTCTTGTTCCCAGCTGTATTCCCTACTCCTGGCACACAGAAGATTTTTGCTCAATACATTCGTGTAGAATGAAAAGCACTGTAAAATTCAAGCAGTTGGGCCAAATGAATTTTAATGTTTCTTTTGCACTTCTAACATGACCATTGTTAAAAATGAATAAGCAAGAAAATGAAGTCATAGCAACCATTGCAATAAAACACTGAGTGCAGTGTGTATTTGTACTTATGCTTAAGAATATAAACCTGCCAAGTTCTTGCATGTGTTACAGTGTTGTCTTTCTAGTTTCCCATAGAGTGTGAACTAAGTTTCTGAGCTTGAAGATAAAGTATCTAAGGAGGATATTAGGTAGCTGTCTAAATATAAAACCACTGTATCACAGAATTAGAGTGCAATAGGTTTTTTTTTTTTCTTTCTAATTTTTAATTTAAATTCTACTTAGTTACCATACACTGCAATACTGGTTTCAGGAGCAGAATACAGTGATTCATCACTCATACAACACCAAGTGCTCATCACAACAAGTGCCCTCCTTAATGCCCATCACCCATCCAGTCCATCCCTCACTCACCTCTCACCATCAACCCTCAGTTTGTTCTCTATCTTTAAGAGTCTCTCGTGGTTTGATTTGTATTTCCCTGATGATGAGTGATGCTGAGCATTTTTTCATGTGTCTGTTAGCCATCCGGATGTCTTCTTTGGAGAAGTGTCTTTTCATGTCTTTGGCCTTTTATTTCTTTGTGTTGTCTGATTGCTGAGGCTAGGACTTCCAATACCATGTTGAATAACAGTGGCGAGAGTGGACATCCCTGTGGCGTTCCTGACCTTGGGGGAAAAGCTCTCAGTTTTCCCCCTTTGAGGATATTAGCGGGGGGTCTTTCCTATCTCAAGTAATTTTTTTAATCTTTTATTTTTGAGAGAGAGAGACAGAGAGAGAGAGAGAGAGAGAGAGCGAGCAGGGGAGGGGCAGAAAGAGGGAGACAGAATCCAAAGCAGGGTCCAGGCTCTGAGCTGTCAGCACAGAGCCTGATGTGGGGCTCGAACCCACCAACAGTGAGGCCCTGACCTGAGCCAAAGTCAGATGCTCAACTGACTGAGCCACCCAGGTGCCCCTCAGGTACTATTTTAACAAGACTTATTTCACAAGAAAATCCTTTCAATGAGGTATTCGAAGACTCAAAATCATAGCACGCTGTGGTATTTGTTACATATTCAGGACTGTTTCTAGGGAGAAACAATACTTACTATTTGGAAAATGTGTCTGAGGGCTGCTTGATCCTATACCAGTGCTTCTGACACTTGAGCACGGAGGACTCCGTAAAGCACAGATTCCTGGTCCCACCCCAGAGTTTCTGGTTTTGAAGGTCAGAGGCATGGGGAAGGGTGCGTAGGACCGGAGAGTCTAACAGAAATACTACCAAGTTTATTACACTAACTCTCTCAGCTTAACCTGTCCGCTAGGCCGGGGGAGAACTACAAGTCCCGGCGTGCCCCGCGCGCAGAGGGCGGAAAGTCGGGCACTTCCGCTCCACGCAGCGCCTCTGCCCCCGCGTCTCGACGTGTCACCGGCGGCGCCGCGGCTGTGGCAAGAGGAGGACCTAACTGGGGGAGTTCGAGGCGGCGGGCGGCGGCGGTGACCCCGGCCAGGATCTGCCCCGGCGCGGAAGTGTTCCGGGGTCTGTGGGGAGCAGGGGAGGGAGCCGGCGGCTCGGCCCGCGCGGGGCACGATGTTGAACATGTGGAAGGTGCGGGAGCTGGTGGACAAAGCGTGAGTATCGGGGGTCAGTTGTGGCCAAGGCCCACGCAGAGGAGGGGAGGAAGGGGGAAGGGGAGCTGGCCCTGCGCCCGGGGCTGCCCGCGTCACGCCCCCCGGCTTGGCCAGTCCCATCATGGCGGCGACCGGCTCTCTCTCCGACCCGGAGCAGGTCCCGACCCGCGAGGGTGAGAAGGGACCCTTCCTCGTTTCAAAACATCCTGTTAGCCCCCTCCTCTCCTGTGCAGGCCTTCCTCACCTTGCCCCCACCCCCATCCCTCTAGGCACAGACCCTTTGGTCAGGGGAGGGGGGGGGGGTTGTCCAGAGCTGGGTCACTGCCCTGGTTGGAGGACTGTCTTGGCCCCAGACTGTGGGTTTTGCCTCCGGGGCAGCGGGGAAGGCTTGGAGGTGGGGGACGCAATGCACTGACCCTCTGTGTTCTCAGGGTGTGGTGCGGAGACTTAGGCCTGGTCGGGTTGCTTACTAGGTTTCTTTTAATTCCTAATGAACCTGAAGTGTTGGAGTGGGTGGTAGGTGTAACAAGTGGCCATTGTGGTCAGGCTGAAGTTACTCAAGAGGAGATTCATCCTTTGCTTTTCTAACACTAGTGAAAGTAGATCACCACATTACTTACTGTGATTCTTCTTTTCCTCTTGTTTCCTTTTCCACTACATTTCATTTTTGGAGGGTCACTCGTTCCATTGGGCTTAGTTAACAAGTCATTAAGAAATTTACCCTGAAGAAGGAAACAACCCGGGTTTATATCCCGTTGATCTGCTTTTAGCTTCCCTGACAGGTAAAATGACTAATGCATAGATGATTTCCTATAAGAGTTAGGTTATAACTTTAGTGTCTCACACCAGAAAAACCTTCACACTTAACAGACGTAACATTAAGGACTTCTAGGCCAGCAGGAAATAAAGTTTAAGAATTTAACCAGTCAGTCCTCTTCCTTTGGCTTCTAGTGATTGTGCAATACGTGTGGTGACAGAAACATTGGTGATACCGACCCAACCTAAAATCAGGAAGTGTTGATGGCAAACTTTTGAGTTTTTCTTGACACCAAAAAAAAAAAAAAAAACCACACCAAAAACCAAAAAACACAATTTATAGTGGCTTGGATAATCATCAGATGGAACTTAGAATTTGACCATATTTTCCAGTTTGCTGTGCTACCAAGAAGGCAGTAGAGCACCAAAGGGACATGGGTTTTAGAGGCTTCAGAGCTGGGTTCAAGCTCTGTAACCTTGGCAAGTTAAGTAACTTTAGGTGCCCCAGTTTTCTTAGGTGCAGTATGAAAATAATGATAGATACCTACCTTACAACGTTGTAAAGCTTAAGGACTAAGGACTTTACATATAAAGCTCTTGCCACAGTATATTTAGATCAGTATACTTTGGATGACTGTAGCAGATGTTCTGCATTGAGAGGGAGATAAACATTAAAAGAGAAACTCTACGTTTGAGAAATGGTTTGCTTTAATAATTTTCCTTTATCAGCTGTTCATTTGATCATTAAGTCCTCAGACATTTATTTTGGGTTTGTTTTGCTATTTATATGCCCTTTGCTTCCTAAAGATAAAATCATGGTTCTTTTCCAGATACAGGTTCATTAGTTTTTTATATTTTTAATTTTTTTCCAGTGGACACTGTGCATGCCTTATTGGATCACTGGTTGTTTATCCAAGTGTAAAGACTTGGATACTAGCTTAAATAGTTTTGAAAGTCCAAAAGTCTCTACAAAACTCTTTATTTCTAAGCCAGAGAGCAGCAAAAGAGATCTAAGAGAAACCTTGTTGTCTTAGAGAACTAAGTTTGTGGTACTCACAAATTTGCAGAAGCTATATACGTTTTTCAGGAGACAGAAATCAAGGCAACGTTCCTGCTGATGTTGTACGTTTGCTATTGTTTGTCTTTATCACTCATGTTACCAATCTTCAAGTGTTCAGGTGAAATTTGGTACATAAGTAGTTATCAAGTCATCTAATGGAAGAACTGTTGTTGAAAAAGAACTTCTGTCTTCCTTTTTACTACCCATTTTAAAATGGAGACTTGAACCAAGTTCAGGAACGTGTAAGAATTCTGCCACCAAGGACTTGTTAAAGTTTTTGTGGGTGTCTGACACATGATATTAAGATTAGAATGTGAAGTTATTTTACTGAATACTTAGAATTTAATTTTCATCTTTCATTGGCAGGAGAGAAAAAAATTCTTCCCTCAAAATGTAAGCATCTTACAGAACCAGTACCTGTGGCACAGTGTCCAGTTAGATTCTTCACCTTAAAATGCCATAATGGAGGAGAAACCAATCTGTAGAATGGCTGCTTTGATTATTAGAGGAATAAGGTATTGAGGGAACTTGGAAATGAAGAAACGAAGTGATTAAGGACTGCTCGGAGAGTTTGGATTAATAGAATGAGGTCTTATGTATTAGGAAGGGCACAAGTTAGGGGTTTTAGAGACCTGGGTTCAGATTCTGATACTTCCTTTTAAGCTAGCCATATGTATAATTTTGCAGAGAATCACATAAATATCCAAATGATAGATTCCTTATCAGTAAAATGAGAGGATGAGGGTAGACAAAGTCTGTTTTCAACTTTACTGGCTATTTGGAGACATGAATTTCCATTGCGTGGGCAGGGGGGAGATATGGAACTGGTATTTCATAATGGCACACAGATTTTGGAAAGTCATTCTCCAGCGACAGTTTTGGCTGAAAAAGGATTTTTTTTTAAAGTGGTAATCAATAATTGTTATATTTAAATGCTTTATGCAGTAAATAAATGCAACCAATGACTCAGGAAAACTAGGACTTTTATTTAGCATATATCCCTACCCAGCGAGGTTTACTTGAGAAAGAAAAATGTTTTCTTTCAAAATGTGTTCCCTAGAGCTGCAGTTAGATCAAGTATGGTGGCAGTTCTGAAGTATAACGATGTATTTCAGATATTGGCTTTTGAGAGCTTGAAGACATGGAGGGTGAGGAGATACTTTCCACAATTGTTGACCTCCTGGTAGTATTAAATGGCTTGGTGTGCAGAATACTGTGGAACTGAGGAAAAGCAGATAAAGTCATAGGCCAGCCAGAGCTTAGAGTACCAGTTTCCTCCCACTTGTACTCAAGTTGCACGAAAGGCAGCTGTGGCAGGAAGGGATAAGTGGCACCACTCCCACCAACTAGGACTAGCTTGACCATTATCATCATGTGACCTGCCTTCTTGTAATAAAGTTGGATTCTTTGATATTTTGTTATCCCACACATGGTATAAATTAAAAGTTGCTACAGTTCTGTTCTGTTTTTTCTCCAAACTTTGGGAATGTAGTCAACGTGACAGATAGTGGTAGATCAAAATGGCTACTTATTCAAGCCCAGTTAATCCTTCTCTTCCATTGCACAGAGTAGTACTAGTGGTAAATCTATTTCATCGGTGGCCCTTACTCTTTTTATGATAGTGATTCAAATAGTGCTGGCCAGCTACTATTGGTGGGCAACTGCTATTGGTAGTCCTTTCTTACTTTCTTAAGCATAGCTTGCGTTTTCCCTTATAAGTTGATTTTTGTTGGTGTTAACATGCGGTTTTATCCCCTAAATGTTTGTAGAGCTATAGAAACTACTCTTGCCTAGTCTAGACTCCAGAAGGAGAACCTTTTACTTTTTCAGAAAATATTTCATTCAGTTATTTCAACAGATAATACATTTTTTTTTTTTGGAGTAGTACTGTATTTTCTGAACTTGAAAAGTACAATACAGGTACCCTGCCTTCAAGAAACTTGCCATTACAATTACACTATATTTTGAACTTACTGTCAGTTTTGCTTTTTAGTCACCAGATGGTTTCCCCCTTATTTTCCCTGTCTTCCCAGTAAATCTCTGTTCCGTTTGCTTCTTAGAATTTGAAAGCAGACATGATTGTCAGCTTTTTAGTCTTCCCCTATCAACTTTTTTGGGAACCAATAATAGATCATTGTTATTAGTGAAATAATTAATTATCCGCCCTCTCTTATGGTAAGTGGATATAAGAAGATATTAAGAATTTAATTCCAAAGACAGAAGAGTTTAATTTATCTTCTGCCAATATTTCTGTAGTTTAAATTAGCCAATTTAGTACTACTGTCAAAATGCTTTTAAAAATCACTTAGTTGTCTCTTATGTTTTTCTGTGCCCTGTAGTGTTAGTTTACAAGTAGTTTTTCGTTTGTTTACTGATATATCCACTGAAAGTACTTGTGTGTGTGTGTGTTTTTTTTTAATTTAACTTTAAGTACCACTTATTTAGTTAATACTTCTGGTTTTTACAGTATGGCTCCACAGTTGAACCTTTTTGTGTGCTTTTAAATTATTTTATTTCATTTTTTTTAAACAAATTAGTTTTTAATGTTTATTTATTTAGAGAGAGAGAAAGTGCCATCAGGGGAGGGGCCGAGAGAGGGAGAGAGAGAATCCCAAGGAGGCTCCGTGCTGTCAGCACAGACCCCGACATGGGGCTTGATCCCAGGAACCATGAGATCATGACCTGAGCTGAAATCAAGAGTTAGATGCTCAGCCGAGCCACCCAGGTGCCCCTCTTACTTATTTCTAGTGTTTACTTAATAATTCTTTTAAGAAAAAATAAAGAGTAAAGGCAGCTTTTTTTTTTTCTTAATTTTTTTTTAACGTTTATTTATTTTTGAGAGAGGGAGAAAGAGCGTGCGCAAACAGGGGAGGGTCAGAGAGAGACAAAGACATAGAATCCGAAGCAGGCTCCAGGCTCTAAGCTGTCAGCACAGAGCCTGACGCGGGGCTCGAACCCACAGACTGTGAGATCATGACCTGAGCTGAAGTCAGATGTTTAACCGACTAAGCTACCCAAGTGACCCAAGAGTATAGGCAGTTTAAATAACATTTTAATCTTGAAGAAATTGTATTGTTTTATCTTTCATATTAAGATATATCTAGCTGTGAAAAAGTACTTTTTTAGTATTTGTAATAGCTCTTATGTACAAAAAGTTAACTCCTTTTAACCTCAACTGACATTA